CTGAAGGAAACAAGAGCTGTCCGTAAGACAGCGCGCTCGACTTTTTTAGTGCTTGCCTATAATACAAAACATTGACAGTTAAGGGCCATAATTCAAATAAAATCTTTGACAGAATTACCTTCTCCTGGACATGTTTGGGAATCATGATTGTAAACAAGTATTCCAACTTTCAAATTAATATCTCAAACAGTTCAGTCAAAAAGTGGACTGGTACTAAAAACTTAACCAAGATTCTAAGTCGATAAAAGGCCTTAATTTTTAAAACAAATCCTTGACAGAGTTACCTTCTCTTGCGTACAGATGGGGGTAATGATGTGAAATAGCATTAAAAGTTTCAAAGCAATATCTCAAAGGGTTAAGGCAATAAGTGGATTTTACCCATATTCAATGTATTTTCTAAGTCAAAAAGGGGCATAATTCTGTCAAAAACCTTGACAGAGTTATGTCCTCTTGTCTGTTGATGAAGGTCGTGATGGTAAACAAGTATGGTCAGTTTCAAAGCAATACCTCCAATGGTTTTGAAATAAAGTGAGGTGGTACAAAAAACTTAACCAAGATTCTAAGTCGATAAAAGGCCTTAATTTTTAAAACAAATCCTTGACAGAGTTACCTTCTCTTGCGTACAGATGGGGGTAATGATGTGAAATAGCATTAAAAGTTTCAAAGCAATATCTCAAAGGGTTAAGGCAATAAGTGGATTTTACCCATATTCAATGTATTTTCTAAGTCAAAAAGGGGCATAATTCTGTCAAAAACCTTGACAGAGTTATGTCCTCTTGTCTGTTGATGAAGGTCGTGATGGTAAACAAGTATGGTCAGTTTCAAAGCAATACCTCCAATGGTTTTGAAATAAAGTGAGGTGGTACAAAAAACTTAACCAAGCTCAATACACTTTCTAAGTCAAAAAAGGGCCATAATTCTGTCAAAAACCTTGACAGAGTTATGTACTCTTGTCTGTAGATGGAGGTTATGATGGTGAACAAGTATGGTAAGTTTCAAAGCCATACTTGTAATACTTCTGAAATAAAGTGGGGTGGTACGAAAAACTTAACCAAGGTGTGACGCCAACGCTAACGCCGACGCCGACGCCGGGGCGAGTAGGATAGCTCCCCTTTTCATAGAAAAGTCGAGCTAAAAAAAATATCTCAAAACTTAAACATATCATCACAGGCATAAAAAAACACATGTAACAAAAAAAATAATGGAGCATGTAGGTTTTTAACCCGGACCTATGTCTTGTTTTGATGTGTATAAGATGAAGAGAGATAGATCTAATTGTAAATCATGCAGAAAGATATGCCTGACATGTAAGAACTGTTCAGTAATTGATACGGAATCTGGCAATCCTGATAAAGTAATTGCTCTGACCTATTTTCAACATACATGTATATTTACATTATATTTCTAGGGTTTTTTTTTTACACTTGATTTTAAATAACAATAAATATCATTTTTTCATGTGTCCAAACAAAATATGTACATAAAATAAAGGCTCCTCATATATATAAGTGGTTCAGTATGGGTTCTACAATATAATCTACAATAACATTAAGCTTAATGACCTCCTTAACTGATGTAAGCTTTTGTTCTGCTTCAAATGGAAATCTATAATTTTTTTTTTAAAAATACTAAAATATAGTTCAGTTGTACCTGACAAAATAAAAGGCTGACAAGTCAGACTGCACATAAGATAGGGCCAGGTCAGTTTGAAAACAAGAGCAGACTGGTCTGGCCTGTCAGAATGATGGCAAAGAGAGGTCACTGTTGCTACTTAAGTATTCCATTCTTGACCAGACAACCCTCATTTAATATATCTATATGATTTCCTTATAAGAGCACATTTAGTACTTGAAACACCTAAAGATTATCTAAGAAACATTCAGATAATATGACAGTGTAAATTAATAATTAACCCCAAGATAAGCCGGAAATTACAGAAAAGTCTGCAACTTTCACCTGCTGTGTGAAGAATATGTATTAAAGGAAGTGTCTGCTTAGACATTCTCTAATCATTGAGACATAATTGCTAATATTCTGCAAAGTTTGAGAAGAAATTGGTAATATCCTATCTACAACTTGTCTGGTTCATCAATGGAAAAACCAGTCAAGATCACCATCAGTGTGTGTACAGTTGATTGCCCTTTTTTAAGCATCAGTCGATTGTACAGTACCCCCCCCACCCCTACAGTTGATTGCCCTTTAAGCATCAGTTGATTGTACAGACTACCCCCGGTACTCCCATATTACCCCCAGTGCAAGGGATAATAGGGGAAATGAGCAGTGTTTTACCCACAATGCCAAGAAGTTGATGCAGTGGTTTTATTTTTTGACATAAAAATAGACTTCACAGTGCAGGTGTGGGTAGAGTAACACATTTTTGCATAAATTTTTCTTCTTCTGGGTCTGTCCCCCACAAAGAGGGCCATTTACCTCAGTGCCAAAACACCATTTTTGGGGAAGGGGCCTCAGCCTTTTTCTTGGGGAAAATATGCGTGATTTTGGTATACTTTGGGAAAAGGGGTCTTAAATTTAACACAAACTTTTAACAAGTTCTTTAAAATAGAAAAGCAAAAAGCACTGGGAAATACAAATAAGGCAGTCAAAATCCTTAATTCAACACCATCATTTAATTTTGTTCTAAATTCTATGGGAAATTTCAAAAGACTGGGGAATTTTGAGGACCAAACTGGGGAAAAAAAGAGGCTAGGTTGGGGAAGTAGCCTATATTCGGCCCCTACAAAGAAGGGTTTTTTGGCCCTGTACCTAGAGTTTAAAGAATTCCCAAAGAGAAAGCCACAGACATTCCCTGGCATTGATGATGCCAATGTTATTATTGACTTTATTATGATATTTGTAAAGTGAAAGCCTTTTGCAGGAAATCAATATACATTTTTCTCCTTTTCTTGACCATGCAATTTCAATAAAAAAAAAATAAAGAAAAAAAAAATTAAAAAAATTGTTCAAGTTATTTCAGCATAAAAAATTATGTTTCACTATTATTATGTCTTGCTGTTTTAATGCATTCTAAGTTAAAAAGGGGGATAACTCATAAAACATTGCTGTTAGAATTATGCACCTTGTCTAAAACTGCACCTTGTCATGATAAGCAATTATTCCAAGTTTGATATTGATAAACTTTTCAAAAGTTTGGATGATGGACTACACTAAAAATTTTGCACCATAACAATCACTACGACAACACAGCTTATTCGTAATAGCTGGATTTTTTCTTCGAAACAGCAGAGCTTATAATTATCTTTCCCTGCTGCCTGTTTCATTCCTAGCTACAGTGAAGATCAATCAGACATTCTGGTGACATAATTATTTCATGGCAATGATCAAGAGAAAATGATTTAATGAACCATATAATCAAAATGTTTGTTCCATTAGCACAAAAAAAAACGAGAACACAGTCATGTACAGATGTCTACAAATGTATTTCCACTTGCCAGAATACAGTTTAATAAAAAAAATATATATAATCATGGACTTGGTTTACTAAGAAGTGAAATGGTCTAATTGCGTTTTATGGGGTTGCAATATCACAATACTAAAATCGGCAATCAACTGTATCGGGCCAATATGACCCAATACCTGCTAATCATTTAGTGCATAAAACAGCCCAGTATTGGTATGCATCTAAATGTTATGCTCTCGTGTTGTTTAGAAGCATTAATGTTTTTACAATAAACTATAAAACCTTATTCGAATTGTTTATATTCCTTACAGACTCTCTAATATCTACTTTTTTACTATTTTCTGCGTAACTGTAATACAGTGTCATAGTAATTTGTATAATATAAATTTGTTGCATTGTGTTCGGACACTATCTATTGTCACAGTCTTTCGAACAGACAAGCAAAAGACTATAGTGACATCACAAATTTCCTCATTATAACCACAGTCTCTCAGATTCCAAAGTTTGGGTGATCACCAAAATTTCACTTGTCCAATGCATCAACTACAGCCAAACAACAGTAAGCACCCGAACCTAGTGCCAGTATTATAAATTGTATGAACATGAATATTAAGACAGTTATCACTAAATGGCTTTGATTTTTTAAAAACATGTGCTACGATTGTTTGATGCTTTGCATCAGAATTAGTTTTGTATAGATATGTTATTTAAAGAGCTCAAAAGTACAAAAAGTTTCAGTTCCATTGTATTAGCATATTTGGCCATTAAGGACAATATTTGGTTTATTGAAAATTTATATATAAGATAGAGCCAATATGCTATAAAGCTAATAAAATCAAAGTGGTTCTTCCAGAAAACTTTCTTTTTTTTTTGTTAACAATAATCATACTGGCTATTTTATTTTTTTCTGCTTCAGCTGGCCAACTTTATATGCCTGTAAAAAAAGGCTGCCTAAAACAATACATTACTTGGTTCAGATAAAATATCCCATCCAAATTATCAGCAAAAAAAACACAACAACATTAAATACACCAATTCATCATAATAAAACAAGCAACACAAAGGCCAAAAAATCAATTTAAACAGCTTTTCATACTTGTCCAAATTGACATCTAGCTTTGTGTTTTCTATATAACGCTCTTGTTACAGATAAACAAATTAAATCAACTTCAATGTTGAAAGAAAAAGAACATTTTCAACAGATTGTGGTTTTTTGGGTGGGTTGGCTTTTTATCCATCTAAAATACAGCTAGTTCAAAGGTAAACAGAGGCATGTTCCCTGTATCTGTATTTGAATTCAGAGCAATTAGTTTTTTCCCAAGGGTTGTGTCAGTAACCAGTTTTTCCCCTAATTATATAAAGTAAAACAGGCAGTACATAGAGGTAATTATGACTTTAGTGTCTGAATCACAAAATTGGTAACAAGGGAAGTAACTCTTTTGTGTAAAAAGACTTAAGTATTCCCAAGGTTAATTCCCTTGATCAGATTTGCAGTTGAGCACAAGACATCTTTAACTTATTAATACTATGTGTCAAATATTTCTGACAAAATTATTGAAGGAAATACATAATACCCCTCACAAGATTAGACAAAGACCTAAAATAACATTGACCAAATATTACAAAGAAAATAACAAAGACCTAAAATCACATCCAAAAATAACAAAGACCTACCTTGAATATGCTGAAGCTGATCATCAACTCGGACTGTAAATGTTTCTCCTGGACTAATATGTACATGAACTACATGCTGGTGCCCGGTGCCTTGGTTTCCATTATTCGCGGCACCAGTAGTTGGATTAGGGGTACTGGCTCCAGATTGTGGAGGCGTCACTGGTGTGGTGCTTTGATGATTTGGTGATGCAGCGCCAGGGTGCTGGATAGGATGGCAAGTGCCAACAGGTGGACCTGCAGGTACAAATCCTGCCATGGTTGGCATTGGCATGGAAGTAGATGTACCATGGGGAACAGATTGTCCCATCATACCTACAGCAGTGCCTGTAGAAGTAAACTGGCCATCTGGTTGCATTGTCATGGACATAGTCACATGATTGCTATCTGGTGTTACCGGAATCTGGTTCATATCAGAATAAGTCTGATTACTTGTCAGTACCTCCATCCCATCTGAATTAATCCCACTACCGTGCACAGAATTCTGGGAGCTACCAGTTTCATCAGAAGTCACGTTATTATTGTTAATATTGGCATTATCCATAGATTCTTCCGATGTAGTATTCATGTTTGAATCAACATGGTTTTCTTTAGCATTAATGGCAGCTTCGATGCAGTTAGATGCACTCTTATCCTCAGTTGAATTCAGTCGCATTATTTTTTGTTTCTCGTTCACGTTACTAGACGAATAGTCAGTATCTGTATCTATTCCAGATTCTCCGTTAGATAAACTATTGTCCTTGTCACACCCGTTTTCTACTGCAACGTTATTTTCTATAAGACCTGTCTGATCACACGTAGACATTTTGTTATCAAACCAACATCTTTCTATTGGTAGTCGATCGTCTGAAAGTATAAATCATCATCGTATATAAAACATCTTACACATATATAGTACAACAATCTTTTTATTTATGACAATTATGTTACATTGACACAATTTCACTAACAACTGTTTTGTAGTAATAGTTATTAATCACTCCTTAAGTTCAAAGGACTGAGATTCTGATTTACAAAAGGTAAACATGGCTTATTCACTTAAATATACCACTCTTGACAATTGGTTACAAAATGATTTTACTACCAATCAACTGACTGAACAACTTCAGTAAAGATTCTGTTCAAATTAAATACATATCCAACATCAAGTATTCTGTTAATGTTATAATATAATATAACATTGATGTAAAATGAGGTAAAGGGGCATATTGCAGCACATACACAAGCAAGATATAATAATAAAATATTTACAATTTTGCAATATTTCAATATATTTTATCATCACACACATCACTCCCATTTTAATAAAAATAATCATTATTTTTGTAAAATCTATGAGGGGAAGTATTGAAAAGGTTACATCTAAATGTTCGTGGGTAAACCCCAATAAAAACTGACCACATATTATGAAGTGCCCACACAGTCCTAATATTATGTCTAATGTACAACTGAAGTTATCTCCCTTTTAATTTATTGGCTATTGATTTATAAAATTGTATGCAGCTGCAATTGATAAATAAATACTTCCAGTAACAGTTACCGCCACTTACAAATTCTAAAACTGAACTTTTACAACAACAAAAATCTACATGCAAGGATTGGACTTTGCATTCTAAATGTTGCAGAGAAAAAAAAAATGTACATTAAAATAAACATAAGCAAAATTTATCAAAATTTCACAACTTAGAATTACTTACATATCCAGTACAACCACCAAAATAATAAAATATACGAAATAAGTTAAAATTTTACCTAAATCATCTTTTTAAAATTTCAAAGCCAAGACATTTTTTCACTTAGTTTTATAAACCACCTGTCTATTGAAGATAACATAAGCTGGTTATCAGCATTAATAGATTATGTAAGTTGTTTAACTGTTGAATTTAGTACAATAAGGCACTAAGTTACAGCCTACATTAAATTTCAACTTCAAATGAGCCTGTACAACAACCCTATCCCCAATGAAATGGCAAAACTGAGAAGCTGTATAGACCAACATGGGAATTTTTCTCCAGCTTAAAACTTCATTTTTTTTTACACTGTACTTTCATTTTCTACATAGATGAAAATTAGCGAAGAGATAAAAATTTCAGTACTTTTAAAGCCTGTTAAAAGGCTGTTATGGTTTACTAAGAAATTATCTCTATATAATTATGTCTCTGACACAAGTAGGTACATAAATATAAAACATATGTATAATTATACATTCTCATATTACCAAAATAGAATAGTGTACTGGAATAACCCTGTATTGAAAACTGAAGTTAACAGTAAACCTAAGTGTCTTGAATGAGTACACAATTTTCCCACTGAAAACAATAACTGCAGATTTTGTTTGTTTGTTTTGATTGGGTTATACATCACACATACACTGTAATGGTCATATGATGACATTCTAGTTTTACTGGTGGAGGAAGACCTAAGGTGCCCTTCCTACCTGAGTATAACAACGGCATTCCGTAAGCTAGCTGTTGGGATTCGAACCCACAGCAGTTAGGGGCAAGTGGACTTGAAGTCAACAACCATAACTACTCGGCCACAGACACCCTAATAACTGCAGACAATAAATATTACTGTTATGTAAAAATGTAAAATAAAACACGAAGCAATGAATTGCAAATAACTAAATACAAACATTGAAACACTTCCTATATTTCTTAATAAGGAAAGATAATGAACATTAATATTATATAACATTTATTTAACGAGGCATTCTAAATAAAATAATCTTCAAATCTTAAATTTGATCTCTTTTGATATAATTTGTAATTATGAATAAATGACGGATGTATGAAAAATTCTTCCTTTTGAACAGAATTAATATTTATCATTTCTTAATCATGAACTGAGAGTATCAGACGAAAAAATTTAATGTACATAAAGAGTTCACCATACATATATATCTTCTTTATACCTAATATGCGCTCCATGATTGTTGTTCAGTCTAGTAAAATACCATAAAATATCATTTTACAAGTGTTTTATGTCCGTTTTATTACATCATCATATCTGTCTACTATGTTCAACATTTATAACTTATTATAATAATTTCAGTCGGGGAAATTAAACTTTACCAAAGAGCTATTTTTAAAATACCTGAAACATATTAGCCCTGGCTTTCCTGAAAATGTGCGCTTTCGTGTAATGTCTAAAAAATTCTTTAATACAGATTTTCTTATTTTTCGAAAATGATAATTATACTGTCTCAGTCATTTTTTTTTTTATTTGACTAAAGGTAAAAGAATGTAAACGTACAATATATTATATCAGATAAACTGTTCAGTGGATTGCATTTCATATAATTATAAGTAATCTTTTATTCAAGTTAACAATATTTTGTTAAATTTATTAACATATTAAGTCTTAAATTATACAATTTTGAAACTGCAATTCCTCAAAAGATTCATCAGTTTATACTTAGAACAATTCTTTATTTTTCAACCAAAATATAAACTTTTCGAAGGATATGCAGTCATGGCTTTTTGACTATTTTTAAACTGTGGACATAGCTGTTAAAAATTAATCCCCCCCCCCCAGAATCAACCCACCCACTCCCCATTTTGCAAGAAAAAAAATATACTATGGTGAAATTTTCTTAAGTATGTAGATTGTGAATGATGGAATAGTATGGTAAAATGTAAATGATCTAAATAAATTGATCTTCTGTAAAGCACAAGTATGGGACATTTCAGGAAACAAGATCATGCTAGAACAGTGGCTATTCTAGGAGGGGGAATGGCATTTGACTGACTGTTGTTCAGTCTAGTAAAGTTTTTGTAATTTATAAAATATCTGTATTATTTATAAAAGTGTGGTTACTTAAATAATTAATTGTATTAAACTAGTCTTGTCTAAAATACATGCTGTGCCAACAAAAAATAAAAAAAATACAAAACCTACAAATCCTTAACTTTTATTCACCCTTTCAAACCAATAAATTTAAAAAAAGTTACATTCACCCATATTTTTGAGAATTTCCCCCCTATTTTTTAGAGGTAGGGGGAAAATTTCACGTAGAGAAAAAGGGAAAAGATCAACAAATGTAATAAATTCTAACTTTTAGATAAAAATCCCCCCTGTTTTTTTTTCGAATCCTAGAATAGACACTGCAAGAAGCCCCAAACACACCTCCATCAGGCCTCCAGTTATAGGTTTAATCATTTTATGCTAAAGCCATTTAACATTAGAAATTAGATTTGCATGGAATTGAATGGTAAATAGTAAATTACTCTTCTGTTAAACAAATATGGCACATTTCAGGACACAAGGACCGCCTCCGTGGTCGAGGGGTTAGAGTCGATGACTTCTAATCCAGTTACCTCTCTGGCGTGGGTTCGATCCCCAGGAGATGCTTTGGTAGTTTAGCGCGGAGGAAGGTAGTCTTAAGTACTGGTGTAACTCTCCAGGAACGATGGTTAGGAAACTACCCGCCTATATGACTGAAATACTGTTGGAAAAAGGCGTAAAATTAAACAAACAAACAAACAAACATCAGGACACAATATCAAGCAAGAAGCCCCAAACACTCCTTCATTAGGCGTCCAGTTACAGATTGTATGCTAGCATTAGAAATTAGTTTATGCACAAGTCATGATCAGTCTTGAAAGTTCAAAAACTTACCTGCAGGTTCACAACAGATTAGTTCTGCTATTATACATGAATTTTATTTAATCTATTCTGATGGGAATCTACTAAATTTTAGTCATTTTTATTCACATCTTGTCACCTTTGTGCAGCAATGGGTTAACTCCTATAAAATCATATAAGGAGTTAGCTTGTTACTGCACTAAGCTGGGGATATGATTACAATCCGAGGTCATTTCGTCACCTTAATGCAGTAATGGGTTAACTTCTATTAAATTATATATGAAGTTTACCTGTTACTGCACCTGGGTGACAATTTGTAAAGGCACAATAGGTATCTATCCTGAATAATCCAGCTTTACTGACCATAATTGTATCTATAAGATTATGACATTTTCAAAAGCTGATGAAAGAACAACCTGGTATTTACTAATAGATGTGCAGTAATTAACAAATAGTTTAATTTTAAGCAAGCTAATGTCTTTGACCATTGAAACATTTTTACATTAACTCTATAAAGTCCAGCTTAGAAATAAGAGTGGCATTCGAACAAAGACAAAAGTTTTGACTGTGAACTATAATAACAATTACATCCTCCCAATCTGAGTCCCCTAATACAGTGACATCATCATTTATTTAAAATACATGTAGACTCCTTTCCCTTTATTATGTTCCTCACCTTAATTAAACTGTAAATGTTTCACCTATGACATTAAATTCCATATACCTCTCTCAAGAACCGATCCTTCTCTTTAGCAAGTTACCTGAAAAACTTGTGTGTTTATCCCCAATACTATAAAAATAATAGCGAAATAGAATGAGAAAAAGAGAGTGTGGGCTAAGTTTCAATTAATAATTCATTGTAATTGTAACGAAAATCTTATTTTGTAACGAAATCTTATTTTTACCCCAGACAGTAAAATGAATTGTCCAATGATGTGTATTATAAATTTATCCAGTGCATTCACAGTAGCTGATCTTATCAGTAAAAACAAAGTGCACCTAATCTGCTAAAAATAACACAACATGCATTTTTTTTTGCGCGTGGGAAGACTATAACAGATACTATCAACTAGTTATATATGTAACCAACGTTTAAATCTGTACAACGAATGGGTAAAACCCATATTCCCCTATCTGTCATATCCGATACTAAATAAAGATATTCGGAAGCGAAAATAACTTAACATGCTTTCTAAAAATAAAAACTTTCGCTTTATATTAAGTTATTAATTATTAACAAGCCACAATTTTCATATCCC